CAAACTAAAGAAAAGACACAACTCTTCCGTGGCTCACAGGTGTTGTTCACGAGGAGACTTCACAACTGCCAGTGCATTACGATATGGACCATCATTGCATTTATCCATACTGTTCCCATAGCCTCACATCTCCTCAACAGTTTTTACATCAATTTTACATCAATCTGATTTTTTAAAAAGGTCCCTAAAGTGGGAAATGTTAGGAGAATGGAAAAAGAAATCACTTATTCAGTTCTATGGTTGACTCTTTAAAAGCACATGGAGACCAAAACAAAACATATGCATGCACTTTTTAAATGCAAGAAAGGATGACTCGTGCTTTGCATTGAGGGGCCTGCACTTCAGCAATGGTGTAGTCATGTTAACTTAAGAAACAAACTTGGAATCACTGGACAACAGATGGTCTCCAATTGAGGTCAAGTTCCCAGAAGCATGACTCAAAAATATATTTCTATAGTGGGGGCAGGGGAGGGAGTCTTAAGTTCCATCAGTACCAGAGGTCATTTCGGGGGGAATTGCGCTGCCTCTCCCCACTCCTGCCTGCCTGGGGCCAGGGAGGGCCTTCACGGGGCTTCCTTGAACTCTCGCCAGCCTTGCAGGTCCACCGCCGGGCCCCTCATGGGGCTCGGCAGTGGAGCTGCAAGGCCGGCGGTGGCGGCCGGGACCGTTGGGGGTGGGGTGTGTGGCCTTATGACACACTTCTGGTGATGTCAAGGGGTGTGGCCTTATGACACACTTCCGGTGATGTCAGGGGGTGTGGCATATGCTAATGAGTTATGCTAATGAGCTCCCCTAGCTCTTTTTCTATGAAACGACCCCTGATCAGTACTACCTTAAATGCATGAATAGAACTGAACCGAAGCTCTGCAGCGCCACAGTGTAGGTAGTGTCCAGAATTCTGTGTGGTCAAGAATGATCCTGGTAGCTCAGTTAGCAACTTGCAGCTATAGACTTGCAAGCAAAAGAGAAGCAACTTGTAAAGTACTGGGTCCAGACACGTTGTTAGTGAATCAGCTCATAGTTTATTAAAAGCAGGAGAAAACTGAGATGAGATAGCAGGACCCAGGGCCTGCTTAAATGCCAGTTCCATGCCACACCCAACACACACACACACACACACACACGTGATTGGTTTATTTACAGTACACCCACACCCATAGGTTCCTTCTAGGATCAGGCCTGATCGATTGGCCCGTACTTGGATCCTCTCTCGCTATTGTGTCTGGTCGTGAAGCTCTGCTGGCTTGCATGACCACGTGCGAACCCGGCCACGTGCGTGGTCTTAGTTAGTACACAACACAACTACTAGAGAGTGCAGAGAGAAAAAACTTCTGTGCATTGGTACAGCAAAGTTTTCAATGGTCAGTCCAAAACACCAGCAAATGACTTTTTCCTGACGCAATGACCAGAATTGTTACCTATTGCTTCCAAGCTAATAATGTCTGCCAGCAGCTAATAATATGCCAGTTATCTGAAACAAGAAGGTATGCAGAAAATAGCATCCAAAACTGAAACATCTTGAAACATCTTTCAATGAATGGTTGCACAGCCTGGCAACCAGTTCACGAGGAGACTTCACAGCCTGACAACCAGTGGGAGGCCAGCAGGGGGTGGCTGTTGTCAATTCCATGACATCACTTCTGGGAAAACCCAGAATTGACATCACCCCCCTCTAGAAAGTGCCAGAAGTAATGTCACACCATCAGCCCAATGGCCATTTCCCCCCTCCCACTGCTGTTCTGAGTGGCAGCAGGAAACAAGAGGGAGGGGCAGAGATGCCCCTCCACCACCAGGGGGCTGGCAATCCTACCTGAAGATTAACTATTAATTCCCTGATAAGGAATACTTGTCAATATAAGAGCCCTCTGGGACCATTTAAAATGAAGAACATGAGGGTGAGAGGTTTAAAATCCTCCCCCCTGCGCCCTGTGGCCCCAATCCCAATCAGGTCCCTGCACAACTAAAAATTAAGCCTTTAAAAAAAAAAAAAAACACCACTGCAAGCTGCCAACACAGCACTAGTAGCACACGTCTGCTACAGCCCCCAGGCTGGGCTTCTGTCTGTATTTATCCAGAGCAGATACAATGAAAATATCTGCATTTATCTGAAGAGTTATAATGGATTGCTATTGTTTTTGGAAAAGGCATGTTTGATAAAGAACACGATGAACACCAGGAGCCTGGGATGCAGGTTAAGGGCCATTTCCTTTGCAGATTTTAAGATATATATATAAAATGAGACTAAATAATAACACAGTTTGTTTCCACTAAGTAACCCAAGAATGACATCATGATAATCTTGAGTATAGTGTGCCTGCCTTCCAGGCTCTGAGGTAAGATGAAACGTTTGAGTTTAATTTTTTTCCTGAATATGTTTTTTCCATCTGAATCAGTGAACTCAGCCTTTATTCAGAAAACCAAGGGAAACTCTTCCAGCCACAGTACCGAGCCTTTTGATCACACAAGTTATGAGGAACCAACCAGGAATAAGAAATTCCATCTGACACCTCCCCCATCCCCCAATATTGCCAAGCCCTTTCGCTGTCACTGTTCAAACATGTTTCCAGCTAGAAATCCACAAGGGAACATGACTTAAAATATCTGTCAGGATGTTTTAAAACAGTGGTAAAATATTTTCTGCTGCCACAAGCCTTAAATATATTCTTAAATCCAGCTCATCTTCAGATTCCAGTTGTTCAAGGTCTGAAACATCTCATAATTTTAGTGTGTGTTTATCAGAACCCATTACGGGAACGCGGAGTCTTATGGCAGATATGAAAAGCATCAGTTACAGCAGCGATTTCTCATCGATGGAATTCTTCCTTATTTCACTCTCACTATTTGTAATATAGTGCACCAATGAACTGACATCAGCTTTGCAAGGCTTTGTTTTATTAAAAGGGGGATTAAACAAGTTCATGGAAGACAGGTCTATCAACTGCTATTAGCCATGAGGCCTACATGGAACCTCCAGAGGCAGCATAGTTCTGAAGCCAGTTACTGGAAGGCAAAAAGTGGTAAAGGGCTTATTGCCTTCATGCCTTACTGCTGTATCCCAACCTATCTGGTAAGTCACTGTGGAAAACAGGATACTGGACCAAAGAAACCCTTGGTCAATTCCTACAGGGCTCTTTTTATATTTGTATATTCACTGTTGCAGGCAGATCGGCCAGTACAACAGTAAACATATCTATTGGTCAAGGTTTGAATGAATACTCAAAGTACACTTTCAACAGAAGTGTAACTTTGAATGAAAAGGATTTCTCAGACAATTTTTGTCCTTCACATCAATGTGAACAAGGCTACTAAGAAGAGTGTGAGAGCATGTCTGAACAGGAGCATCCTGTTTCTGTAAGCTGGTGCTTTAGCATGCAAAATGTCTCATTTTTGTGGTCCTATACTTCTTTGTAAAACCCAAAATGAGGTCTTGTACTTCTCCCCCATGTAAAACCCAAAATGAGGTCTTGTACTTCTCCCCCATGAGAATGTGCATGTGTTCACAACACAGGCACATCATGCAGCTCCCCACAGGGTAGATGTGCAAATTCTCATTTTGGACATTACAAAACGTGAGAGGGGGAAAATAGTTTTGCTGACCATTGTCCCATGCAGTGTTCAGTCTCTGTAGTCAGTTGTATTTAGTCCCACCAACTCCACTTGATACGTGGCACCTATGCACAATCCATGCAGAGCCAACCCTTTCCATGTGGTAGCACAATCTGGGCTATTGTTACATAAAATCCACAATCAAAGTTGTACCATTTCTAACTGGTTCTGTTTTATGTGCATTCATTTTGGTACTGATGTGAACAAAGAGTATGAGAAAGCTGCCAGGTGGGCATGCCGCCAGATGTGTCTCACAGCAGTCTCACATTTCATTTCAAGATCAGAAACAGCAAAAGATTCTTCCTTGCTTCAGAAATATCCCATTCTGCATTAGCAGTACCCGTGCATCAAAAACAGCACAGGATCAAGGGGCACCTCACAGTGATGTGTCAAGCTGCGGGCTGGTATATTAGTCAGATGTAGTTCCTTCCATTGGCAGACAGGTAGCCTGCACGGGCTGCTATACTTATTTCTAAGTATGACCTTTCGTGGGTTAGGTAGGATGGCGCTCCACCTGAGGAGATCCACTGCAGGAAAGGGCTCCAGCCTATATATTCAAGGGTTGAGCTACAATACCTATCTGCCATTGGATCTATTCCTAACCTAAAATTCCCACAAAGCTTCTAGAGGATGATGTTCCTACTGAGAGGAAGATGACATAGAAAAGTGTGCCTCGTTAATGAGGTACCACCTGTCCCTCTATCACAAAATTGGAAGTCAAGCTGTAAGGAGGGACATGGCCTGGTACTAGGTGTGGGCTGTGCCACTTTCCCCTGGACATATCTTTTAAAAGAAAGAGCTAGTTCAGGTCTCAGCCTTCGTTTTGCAGACATGTCTTGTGATTTCTTACCTCAGTCATCCACGTCAGAGCAGTGAATGAAGCTGACGAGACTTCTTCAGTACAAGTGCTAATCAAGTGCTAATTGGTGAGTATTGTGATGGGTATGACTTCTGCCATGCAGTCGGCAAAGATGCTGCACCCACAAATTGTGCTGATGCGGTATAAAGCTGCAACATCACTGTGCAAAGGTATTAAACAGCACTTAAGTTGCTTTGGAGCAGAGGACAGAAGGAAATTTACATGGGTGGGAAATCATATGCTGCCAGCTGGAGAAGGAAGTGGTACACCACACTTACTTCATAAGTGTGAGGTTTTTATAAACAAACTCTCTTGAGGATTGTTTAAAATAGACCGAAAATGACACACAGTCTCCAACTGGGCTCTGTTGTTGTTTTAGAAGACTGCATGCATTCTAAAAACATTAGCAGGCTTCCTAGTAGGCCTTCCAAAAGGGTCTATTTTTAACTCCAACCTCGTCTAAATGGTGGGCAATTGTGATGCACAGAAGTCTTTGGAATATCTGGTTTGAAAGAAACCACTCACAATCTCTTACCTGACAATGAAAGACATATTCGGGGGTAGTTTTCTTAAATTTCATGTTCCAAACCAAGGCGACCCCATCTGGTTCATGTGGGGCATCTTCGTTGTTGTTGTAGGAAGCAACCATCAGCTCAGGATACTGAAAAGCAAAGAAGAGGCAGCAGAATTAGAACATGCAGGGCTAGAAAAATCGCTCAGTGCTGAAACAGGTAAATAATTTCAAAAGGAAAGAGAACAAGAGGGTATCTGCTCCCAATGGCCCCATTCCTAAAGGCTTCCCCCCCCCAACAGTGTTTTAAGCATAAACTAATTATTTCAAAAAAGCGCCATGTTTGTAAAGTAGGGGTAGGAATATTACAGGTTACTACTGGTTGCACTTTTGTGCATACACATTTACTTAGAGGATTATATTTCGCCCCAGGGCATAATACCGCCTTTATTGCAGTTCACAACACTACAAAAAGCAAAGAGTTAAAAAGACCTTAAACAAAATTAACCCCCGAGTATCAAAATGAATATTTTTTAATGTATGTCTTCCTTAAATATTCATAATGTTGAACCTGATGCTGGGAACAGCAATTTGAAAAGGGCAGGGTGAGGACAAGAATGGCTGGGAAGGAAAGCACGCGCACACACACACTCCACCACTCAAGGTCAGTTTTTGAAGGTTCATCCTGACACACGCACACAGTCACACACACATCATGAAGCTTACTGCGGGACTTTGGGCCAGTGTTCTCAGTATAACCTACAGAGTTGTTGAAATGATAAAACGAGTCCATCAGAGGAAGGGAGGAATAAAAATGTAATCTGCAAAACAAATGGTTACGTTTTTCCTGTGGTATATAGGTAAGGTTGCCAACTAGGGACGAACTGGCCACTTAACTTACAGGGAAATTTCCCAGTGGGCTGCTTTCCTAGAGGGCTAGTGGCAGCCAGGTGCAGCCAAAAAAGGGGAGAAAAACACAACCCTACACGAGAAAGGTAACCCAAAAAGTTTAGACAAAGAAAAGAAACTAAAATATAGCCACGCAGGAGTGTTAATGTACAAAATATCATATATAATTTAACGTTCAAATGTGCTAAAATATCATTTAAAAATCACAGTTCTATGGTTCTGCATATAAGTACCTAATCCTAATATAAAGACAAATGTCCAATCATATAAATACAGGTTAAAAGGTACAAATTATATCCATATACAAGAACCAATACCAAACACATTTTGGCTAAAAGCCTTCCTCAGTGGTAAAATTCAAACTCCATAAATCTAACAAAAATATACATAAAATTCATTGTACACGGAATGGATCTTATTCACACTGAGATGTTCACCTGTGAAGTAAGTGGTGATAAATATTCTCAAGATGCAACATGGGCAACTCATCTGGATTTACAACATTTCATATGCCTATGGATCTACTTAGGCCCAATCTGCAATGCTCAAAACTCCAATGGAGTACCTGAGCACTCCATTTGAGCTTTGAGCATTGCAGGTTGGGCCTAAGTAGTTCCATGTTGCATCTCAAGCAAAGCCAAGGCCCAGCGGGTGAGCCATTGCCATTTGGCTTCCGAACCTTCAATGACCCTTCTATGACAATAACAATCGGTGTTCACTCATAAGAGACATAAGAACATAAGAGACGCCAATGTTGGATCAGGCCAAAGGCCCATCCAGTCCAACACTCTGTGTCACACAGTGGCCAGAAATACCAGTGCCATCAGGAGGTCCAGCAGTGGGGCCAGGACATTAGAAGCCCTCCCACTGTTGACCCCCCCCCCAAGCACCAAGAAGACAGAGCATCACTTGCCCCAGAGCCCCTAGCTATACCTTGTGGCTAATAGCCACTGATGGACCTCTGCTCCATATGCTTATCTAATTCCCTTTTGAAGCCGTCCATGCTTGTAGCACCCACCACTTCCTGTGGCAGTGAATTCCATGTGTTAATCACTCTTTGGGTGAAGAAATACTTCCTTTTATCCGTTCTAACCCGACCGCTCTGCAGTTTCATGGAGTGCCCACGAGTTCTTGTATTGTGAGAAAGGGAGAAAAGTACCTCTTTCTTTACCTGCTCTTTCCCATGCATAATCTTATAAACCTCGATCATGTCACCCCTCAGTCGTCTTTTCTCCAAGCTAAAGAGCCCTAAGCGCTTTAACCTTTCCTCATAGGGAAAGTGTTCCAACCCTTTTATCATTCGAGTTGCCCTTTTCTGCACTTTTTCCAAAGCTATAATATCCTTTTTAAGGTGTGGTGCCCAGAACTGCACACAGTATTCCAAATGAGGTCTCACCATTGATTTATATAGGGGCATTATTATATTGGCTGATCTGTTTTCAATACCCTTCCTAATAATCCCCAGCATAGCATTGGCCTTCTTTATTGCAGTCACACACTGTCTCGACATTTTCAGTGAGTTATCCACTACAACTCCAAGATCTCTCTCTTGCTCAGTCTCTGCCAGTTCAGACCCCATCAATGTGTATTTATATTTAGGATTTTTGGCTCCAATGTGCATCACCTTGCACTTGGCCACATTGAACCCCATTTGCCATGTTGACGCCCACTCGCCCATCCTTGACAGATCCCCTTGGAGTGCCTCACAATCCTCACTGGTTTTCACCACCCTGAACAACTTTGTATCATCCGCAAATTTAGCCACTTCACTGCTTACTCCCATCTCCAAATCATTAATGAACAAGTTAAAAAGCAGTGGACCAAGTACTGATCCCTGCGGTACCCCACTGCTTACCACCCTCCACTGAGAAAATTGCCCACCTACACTCACTCTCTGTTTTCTATGAACTAGCCAGTTTTTGATCCATAAAAGGACTTGTCCTTCTATCCCATGATTTTTGAGCTTACTTAGGAGCCTTTGATGAGGAACTTTATCAAAAGCTTTCTGGAAGTCAAGGTAAATAATATCTATTGGATCCCCCTTGTCCACATGTTTGTTCACCCCCTCAAAGAACACTAACAGGTTAGTGAGACAAGATCTTCCCTTACAGAAACCGTGCTGAGTCTGCCTCAATAGGTTTTGTTCATCTATGTGCCTACTAATTCTTTCCTTAATAATGGTTTCCACCAATTTACCCGGTATCGACGTCAGACTGACTGGCCTGTAATTTCCCGGATCTCCTCTGGAACCCTTTTTAAAGATGGGAGTGACATTAGCTACCTTCCAATCCTCAGGAATGGAGGCAGATTTTAAGGAAAGATTACATATCTTTGTCAGGAGATCTACAAGTTCACATTTGAGTTCTTTCAGAACTCTCGGATGTATGCCATCTGGGCCTGGTGATTTTTCAGTTTTTAAGTTGTCTATCAGTTTTAGGACCTCCTCTCTCGTCACCTCAATCTGACTCAGGTCTTCCAACACCCCTCCTGAAATCAGTGGTTCTGGAGTGGGCAAGCACTTCTCATCTTCCACAGTGAAGACGGAGGCAAAAAATGCATTTAGCTTCTCAGCCATTTCCCTATCATCCTTCAATACTCCTTTTACCCCTTGGTCGTCCAAGGGCCCCACTGCCTCCCTGGCTGGTTTCCTGTTTCTAATGTATTTGAAGAAAGTTTTATTGTTGGTTTTTACGTTTTTTGCTATATGCTCCTCATATTCCCTTTTTGCCTGCCTGACCTCAGACTTGCATTTTATTTGCCATAGCCTGTGTTCCGTTTTATCAGCCTCACTGTGACTAGCTTTCCACTGCTTAAAGGAATTCTTTTTACTTTTTACAGCCTCCATTACTCTGTTTGTTAACCATGCAGGCTTTTTCCTATACCTGTTTGTGCCTTTCCTAACCTGCGGAATATATATTTTTTGAGCTTCTAGGATCGTAGTTTTAAATAGATCCCAAGCTTCCCCAATTGTTTTGACCCTTTCTACTTTTCCTTTCAGTTTCCTCCCCACGTGTCCCCTCATATCAGAGAAATTACCCCTTTTAAAGTTAAAAATGGTTGTGTGAGTCTTTTTGGCCAATTCTCTATTTGTACAAATGATGAACTCAACAACATTATGATCACTGTTTCCAAGCGGTGCAATCACCTTTACATCTCTCACCAGGTCTTGAGTGTTACTTAGGACCAAATCAAGGATCGCCTCTCCCCTGGTAGGTTCACTACTTGCCTCCTCGTACAGTGCTGCCAGAATGCGGGAAACACAACAGATGTGCCAGTGCCTAATGCTTGTAGTCACCACAGGGGCCTTGGCTCTGCTTGGTGTGCCTTAGCACTATTTGAACTTCCCAGCCTGCCTCTCTCTTTGACTGTACAGGAACCTATCCTGATTTAGTGCAAGCCACTTTCAACCACTGAGAGAAGCAGGGTATAATTAAAAAAAAATAAAGGACTGTACATAAGAGAAAAAGGTTCCAGTGTATGTCAGATTTGTTCTGACCACTGGTATCTTCCCTGCCAATGGCACCTACTTGATTAGCATAATACTGCCAAATATGCTCCATCATCACCTTTTGGATGCAGACCAAAAAAAAAAAAATCCTAGATGAATTCAATTATACTGTTTTTCTTAAACTGTGGGAAATACAGTCTTAGGCAAGCAATACGCTATGTGAAGCAATGGATCACAAGTCACAATGTTTTCTGTTTTATGCATTTGCTTTGCTAAACTATCATCTACAGTATGCAGTATATCATGTGCAAAAAAAAAAAAGAGTCCAGAGTTCAAAGAATTCCCTTCACTATAATGCAGAGTGACACTGGGGGTTGTTAAGGTGTACATCCAAGGTAGATAAGAGTTCAGAGGAAAAGGAGGTGAGACAGGGCCACCCCAGAACAAAGCAATGGAGACAGAACATGTTTGCAAGCCTGAGGGGGTGAACAATTACATTTTGGCAGTTGCCTTCCAACTTGGCTTTATCTTGCTGTCCTGGGAATACAGTAAATGCTGCTTGTTAAAAAGCTATCAGATAAGAATTCCATGTAATTTCCAGTCCCTGGAACAAGCAAATAACCTAAGATAAGTGTTTCCTCAGGCTTGTTTCTCATTTCACTGGAAATCCATACAGGCTTACTGGCCACCCACATGCCAGCGCATACCTGTTGCAAAATGGATTCAATTAAAGCACGTGGATGTAAAACTTCTATATAAAATCAGCTCAGGTTCTACGCCATGAATATGGTACTTCAAAGTCAGCATTATCTTCCTTAACCGACTTCTGCAATTAGTACCTAGGCAGTTTGAATCAGATCATGGTTACACAGAAACCGAGCCATAATATATCATTCATGATCTCGCCAACTATCGTCTTATGGTATTGATAAAGACTGCACAGCTACTTTGGAAGGCCCATTAAGATTTTTAATGTATTTTTTTCTTGTGAACAGCTGATTTTCATGGCATCTCACAAACTCCCCTCAGTTCAGACACAGTGTCCCATACAGTGCTGGGGGGTGGGGGTGGAGAGGCATTGTTCAAGAAACACAAGATCATGGCTGGTTCTTTGACCAAACCACACAAGTGACTGCTTCAGGAGGCACACTGAGGAGGGTCCTGATGCACTGGAGGGTCTCACCTCATTGCCAGCCATCAGTAGCATAGTAGCCTCCTGGAACCCTCTACTGCCTTGGACCTAACTGGCAGGAGCATGGACCCAAGAGCAGATGGCTGTACCTTGCTTGGGGTGCCTAGGTACCTAGAACCAGTCCTGCACAAGACCAAACCTACTTGGACATGTGGAAATAACTACAGAGATTTGTTATGTGATGACCACAATACCCAAAGTTTGTACTCCTAACTTACCTGAAGAGACCAATCCATACAAGTGACAACCCGATGTTTCGACCAGTGTTCATCATAGAATTGGCGGTTAAAGGACAAGTTGGCCCCCGCTTGGACATCTCTAAATGGATTTGAACAGATTATAATTTATTTGCACTCAAAACACATTCTTGGTATCTTAAACTATCAATCATTTGCATTCAAAATTGTTATGGAGATTTCTGAGCACTTCTTTTTCCTGCTCTGTCCTTATCTACTAGTTAGTGTCTTGGTGCATTGCAGATCTGGTCTGCGCCTGTATCAGAATTCTTTCCTCTTAGAACTTGGCCACTGTATTCTGACACAGGCACAGACCAGATCTCAAATGCAGCTGTAAATAAAATGATGTTCTCTTCCACCACCACCCCACTCCAATTTTGAACCCAACAGGCAGAAGCCAGCGAGGAGCAACTTGGGAGGGGAGCACCTTTCAAGTCAGGAGACTTGGGAGCTAGGAGAGAAGCCAAAAATAAAAACCAATGTGGCTCTTTGCTGCCAATGCAATATTTGCTTCCAGTTCTTTCCCATAAGTGAATTACTCTGTCCATTTAGAAAATAATATACCTCCCATGTCTAAGCCAGTGCTTAATTATAAAAAAATGAGGATTCAAATCTGCCTGAAAACTACTCTGTCTTGTCTCAGGAACTGAATAAACTCCACCAACTAGCAAAAGAAGGGGAACTTCCAGAAGTAAGATCGTGAAGAGGTTATATACTCCTTCTGTAGACTGTAGCTGACGTTGATAGTGCAAAAAAAAATACAAAACGATGGGTTAGATCCATACTAAATTGGCAATTTCTATCATTTCCCTTCCCCACTCCAAACTATCTTCATGTCTGTCATCAGGAACCCCCCCCAATCATCCAGGAACAGCATTTCATAGAAATCATTGGGCTGCAGTCGGAGGGGGGCAAAAAAGTTCTGATTGGTTGAAGAATTGGGTTCCCACCTACATTTCAGCATGGGAAGGTATATAGATTTTGATCTCAAATGGCACAGGCACTGTTGCTCTTTGTCCATCAACTTCCTGAGCAGCAAGCTTTAGTCACTCTCGCCTGTTTGGTTTATTTCTTCACTGATGACTTCCATGACTTATTAAAACTTCAGGGTGCATACTGTCAAGAGAATGCAATTAAGCTGACTAGAAACTAGTCAGGACTTGCTACCATATTTGAAACAATGGCTTCGTTTCAGAGAGAATTATGAAGAATAAAGCTGAACAGAAGGAATCAAGAGCCTAGTGTTTATTTTTTTTAAGAAGAGTTCCAATTCGGAGCCCTACAGCAGAAGATATTATGCCTATTATTTTATCAGTCTTGAACATGTATACAAAGGGCATTTGGGGGGTTTATTACAAAAGCAAAAGGGAAAAGAGGATAACTAACCCATCTTTCTCTTCAACATCTCGACCACTGTAGTCGAAGAAAATGTCTGAATCTTCAGCTAGAGCTCTCTCAATTACTCGAATTGTTCGATCAAAAAATATAAGGAATTCTTCTGAGTGGATAATCTGTTGCTTTTCTTCCTCTGTCAGTTCCCTAGGAGGAGCTTATAAAGCACATTGGCAATATTAAGAAGCAGACAAGCATTTAAATATTTCCAGATGAATCAAAGTCTTCATGAAACACAGTACATTTTCCTATGGAAGTCACAGCAGTATTAGTAGGACTGAATAGTTTGCTTCCTTCTAAAGAATCCTTTTAAAATATACTACTAATGTATATTCCTAGAATGTACCCTCTGTACAGAAGGTATCCTATAACTTCTATATTTATCATTCTGAAGAAGAAAATACATAAGGTACCAGAATAAAATAAACCGTGTGTTCAGATTTCAGGAAGCTTTTCTGACTGACGCATATTGCAAAACTGAACTTGGAAGAGAATAAAAACATATTTAACAGAGACGAAGTCTTAAGTACTCCCTTAATACTGAGCACGTTTTCAGTTACACTTACAAAGAGCTAAAATGGTTTTTTGTCATTAGAAGTTGTGTTTTGGTTCCATGTACTAAGCAAGTAAAAAAATATTAAGACACAGGCCGTGATGCCTATGCTGAAGGTGTGAAGGTCCATCATCTCATCAGGGTGGTCAGGGGACAGCACAACATCCAGAGCCTTTACCTCCATGGGGCCTCAAGAGGCCTCAGCCAAGAGAGGGAAAGGGGTTGAGTCCATCTGAGCTGTCCTCCACTCTGCCCAGTGCTCCCTCCAGCCTCTGGGTTGATGGAGTTAGTGACTAGTCCTTCCAAGCCTCTATCCTTGGCCCTTATCAAGCTAGCCTCCCATCCCCATGCTTTCCCTTGCCTCTCCTAAGTCCTGTAGAAGGTGACAGGAGGGTGTGGCTGTCACTGCAGCCAGCCTGGTGTGAGGCCAGGTGCTCCTCAGCTGGTCAAGTTGGCTGCCCCACCCAGACAACATTGCTTCTTCCTGGGGCCAATGTGCCTGGAGCCTGGCTGGTGTTCCGGCTGCCTGTTGGCATTAAAAACATCCACTGAGGGCCAGCCGTGGCAGCACTTATATCTGTCTGCCAGCTCTTCTTGCCCCTTGTCCAGGTCCCCAGGAAAACCCAGGGTGCCAAGATTGCCCCTGGATTCAGAGGCAGCCTGAGGCTGGGCAAAAGGGAACCTGCTAACATGTCCAGACTGGATTTTAATGTGGTTTAATGTATTTTATATTTGCTGCTTTAATGTTTCTTGTCTTATTCAATTGGTTTTATATTGTTTTTATGTTGCTGTTACCAGCTTTGGGTTGAGATGCTTGGGAGAAAGGCAGGTATCAACATACAAGAGATGGAAAACATGCTGATTTCCAGCACTGCTAATGGAAAAGAAAGATCTGATTGTTGGTCCCATAGGTCCCCTTTCATGAGGCAAAAACTCTTCTGAAGAAAGATTTGTTCCACTGGACAAACTCCTTTCTCCCATTGCAGGAGTCTTTCTCCAGCAGTTCATTCCTCACTTAGCAGAAGAGAATATCGGATCTAAAGTGGGGATGCTGTGAATTTCTTCACAAATATGTTCAACAGTCAAACTTACCATGACTTCCAGTTTCGGCAACTTCCATGGTGGGCGTGCTCCTTCAGTGCTCTGAAAGGAGTGGCCCGTGATGCAGTGGATGGGAGGGGGGCCGGTTGATCCGGACACCCCCCCCCAGAGTCCTTGTAGGGAACTCCCAGCCTGGGCCGCTGGAGGTTGCCTCTCCCAAGGCTGCGGCCAAGGAACTGAGGCACCTCCGAGCTCCGATAGGTCCCGTTGCCACGGCACCATTATGGCACTAAGAGGCATACACTGGGTGAGCGAACAAGTGATCCAATGAAAATAAAGCTCTCCCTACCTCTGCAGCAGGTGTGGAAGGAAGTGTGAGTGCAAATTTCTTTCTGACTGGCTATCTGGCAAAGTGTATATCCAAAGCCCTGAACAGCATCGATGGAGGGAGGAGGGAGCTAGTTCACATCTCCCCCCCCCAATACTTTTTAAAGTGAACTTGTTTAGTGAGAGGGCCTAGGAGTAATGGCGATGGTCGACTGAATCAGGCAAAGTACAAATCTAATTAAAGTGAACTTTTGAAGCAACTTTTGCTGTCTTTTGAAAACTTTCCTTGAAATATAAACAATGACTGGGTGGGCAGAAAAGATGGCAACGAGGCTGAGACACTCTCCTGGAACTGCAAGATCAACACATCCGGCTACTAAACCAGAAGTAAACATTGACTTCTCGAACATGTTGGCTACTGCATTGCACCCTTTGCTGGAGCAGATGACTAACACCAACAACTGGAAGATTTTCTGTACACATTATGTTGAAATGTACTTGTGTTTTCCTTATCTATTTAAAAATTTGAAAATAAACAGTGGAGAGAAAAAAAGAAGTTGGATGAGATCCAAAAACAGCGTAAAGAGATGAACTTAAAAACAAAGGAGATTGCAAAATCAGTGAAAAAGGTTGAAGCAAAAGCAAAAGAGTAATCAAAGACTGGAGGTGATGGAAAAACAAAGATCCTCTGATAAAGATCAACTTTTAAGACTACAAATGGAAAAATCAGCATATGTTCTGAGATTTCAAGGTGTTCCTGAGCAGCAAGATGAGAATCTGAAAGAAATACTAAGTGAAGCGTTGAATCCCCCAGCAGTAAGAAAGAACAACAGTCTGTCCCTGTGGTAACCAGACATTGGGTAGCAGGAGACACTGGCACAAGGTGAGGCCTTGGAACGGCAGCATGAGGAAGGGAAGCTGTGACCCCTGGCCCTCTTAGTGGGTAATTCCTACAAAGGCCAGATAGTGACAGTGGGTAGACTGAAAGAGGGAGAGAAAAGCCCCTCCAAGGATTGGGAAAGACAGGGGGTAGCACTTGCCAGGCACAGACTTGGACAGCTATTGGTGTCCAGAGGCCTCAAAGGAAAAAATGAAATAGTACTCACCAATCAGTGTGTCCCTTCTGCCACAGAAACAATTACGATTAAAAAAATGTTCATGGAGGTAGGGGCTCTCAGAAAAATGGTAGCATTCCAAATGCCTCCAAGGTGACTCGCTGCATCTGTCTATCTAGGGTTCCCCTAGCTTTCTCCACCAGCTGAGGACCATGGCCCCAATTTGCATTATCTAAAAAGTATTTTGACTTTCCCCACAATGAATCCTGGGAATTTACTTTCCTTGAGAAAGACTGAGGATGTTAGACTAAATTTAACTAAAAAGAAAACTAGAAAGTCCAGGGATTCCTGGGAGAATCAGTGGGACTTAAACCAGTTTACAATCAATTTCAGTTTAAAAATTCAAATGTGGCCATATTAGCAGCAGCATGTTTTTTTATTCTCCCAACTGTTCACAGCAGATGTCCAAATTAGTCAGGTAGTAAATATATATATATATATATATATATTAAAAAACAGTCAAACTTACTATGTTTCAAGGTGTCAGTCAGACATGAGCCAATCACCCATCCCATTTAGTATTTGGGTTAACTGGTGTGGTTAGTTAGTTACTACTAGTTAGCAGAGTGCTTAAATAAAGCTACAAACTCAGGAGTGTCACTTTACCAGGTCACCCAGCTTACACAAAGTCACATCCTCTACGCTGAGTTAGTGTGAGCTAGCTCACAGTTTTTTAGCCTCCGGCTCACACATTTTTTTACTTAGCTCAGGAAGGATGGCTCCAGAGCAAAATAATTTATGCAGTAGCCAAATCGCTCGCTCACAACTTTAATGCCAGGAGCTCACAAAGTAGACTTTTTTGCTCACGAGACTCCACAGTTTAGAGGGAACATTAGTTTAACAGAGAAATACTTCTCTCTCTATTTGAGAAGTACACTTTAGATAGAAAGAGTAGAAACAGGATAGAGTACTAACTTACTAGCTAAAGGATGGAAGCAGATGGCCAGAGGGCCATCTGCCTCATGGTGCCAAGAAAGGATTGCATGTCTCTCTCTTGGTGTGGGCAGGGAGAGAGCTCATCTTCATCTCAGCTGAGAGAGAACAGAAAGAAGAATAGTCCCTGAGAACGTAATCTACATATCAAAAGGGGCAGTGGCAAAGGTGTAAACACAGGAAGAAAGGTTAGTGTGCCTATCTAGCTATCTAGTCTCTCTTGCCACAAAGTCTGGAGGTCTGAGACAGGGGACATTGCACCTGGAACTTCCAACATTTAGCTCATGCTGAAAAGCCACTAGACTCCTACCTGAGTAGTAGGGCTACTGAAACTGGAGGGTCTGCCTAGGTTTCTGCAATAGGAGCTGCGCAAAAATGTGCATAGCCATACCTGAGCAAGCAGAGGCATGATTCCCCCCCCCCACTGAAGGAGAAAGCCATTTTCAGCAGCGAGTCTTTACTTAAGAATAAATGACTAATTCTTTTGTAAGCACTATTTTAAAAATTGTGATCCTTTTGTTATATTTTGAACCAGAACTATTAAGGTTTGCCAGTTTCCAGCTAAATGGCCACTGTGATACAAAATCTTTTAAAAATGCAACTCAGGATATAGATTTGCTAAATAATAAACATTCACAGAAATATGGCGGAAGGAAACATGAAGGTCCTTTTCCTGTGACAGGATTTGTACTTCAGCCCCCTGGATAAGATGGCAGACTCTTCCCTCGCTTGATTCTGATTATAAAAGGGAATCATCTCAATGTTTTAAAGATCAAAGGCCTTGGCTGCTACTGGATTCTGTACTCACATCCTCCACAACCAAGATTTGTGCTATAGGAGACAGAAAATGCTAAGTGATAGCCCTCTAGCGAAAGATCACAGGTTGAAGTAAAAATCAGCTGAACTCCTATCATTAGGCTTAGTTACATGATTATTACTTCATCACAGCAGTCCAGGGACTCTGCACTGGCATTTCTCTGATGCTGTTCAATACATGATTCAAGATTCCAGGGCTCCCAGAAGGAACGATTGTACAGCCTAAGGCTAAAAGAGGATATAGGCATGTGTCAAGTTTCCAGAATGGGTCAGTCTTTAAAAAAAACAAAAAAACCTGTTCCAGTAGCAGAAAGGATACTATGGGTGGCCAGCTTCCAAGCTGAGAGTCTTTAAGGTCTTGTGATACACATG